CCAGTTGCAGCTCTTGGTTTGTAATAATACTCAACATTTGATATGCAAAGAGTCAGTGATTGTGGGCAAAGATTAGCTGCATTAACAAAGTGGACTTGAAGGCTGGATGTGTTGGAATTGCTCTCTGAACTAATCCTGCTCTTTCTATGCCTGTTCAGGACGCTCTGACAGAGAACAGCTCATTCCTCTCTCATTCTTCTCATCTGTACTGACCTGAGTTCTGACAATTCAATCTGTTCTGTGTCCTCCTGCATGAATTATGGATGAACCTTGCAATGTCTCAGTGTGGTGGGGATTTGCGTTCATTGAGCAGCCCTTCACTTTATAACTCGTTCTGCTTGTGTCACAGGCTCGGTGTGGATTTGAAAGAGGTCAGAATAAAATCAAGGTAATTTGCAGGGCACCAAAGCAAAGCATCCCGTTAGCAGTGTTATTCCCCTGGTGGCAGACCAGTGATTGACTGCTGTGTGCTGAAACGCATTAGATGTGATAATTCTGGCACTGAGTCCCTTCTGATAAGCAATTATCAGCAGACAATGCACTGATGGTGCAACCTGAGTCAAGTAAATAAAAGCCATGGATTTGTGGAAAGATGTTTTTATGTATAATCTAGCTGAGTGCAATTACAAATGATTTCTAAGTGGAGATCAGGGTTAAAATGCTACTAAAAGTTATCAAAACTAAAAATTATAAAGAGCAATTGCAATGATGTTGTTGTTGTCATTGACTATGCTTGTATCATGGCTGTAGGAATGGAAGTGATGATCCGCTTGATCAGTTGGCGCACCACTGGGGTCCATGCTAAAATATCTCAACAACTACTGGTGATTATCTAAAAGTGCACTCAGGTTATTTTTCATGTTTTCATTCCTGTTCATGCATCTGATGCCTTTTGTTCTGTCAGCCACACTCCTCTGTCTTGACTTGCATTGATTTTTGCCAAACACTTAAATCCATAACTCTGTAGGCTGCATGCAAAGACACAGATGCAGTGGTGGTGTGGTGCTGCAGGCAGCAGATATAATACTGATGCAACAAACACTGAAGAAAAGAACGTCAGAAGGCACAGACCAGGGCATCAAGATAAAAAATAACCTTCTTTTCCCCTCTGCTCATTCTGTGATGTTTTTCTTCCGTAAACATTAAAATTCTCATTTATTTCCTGGATGTCCAAAAGAAATGGCAAAAACTAAGAGATGATATATGATGTGTACTTTCTTAGCAATTTAGCCATTTAGCTATTAGTCTTTGTGCGACATCAATCTCACCTGGGGCCCAACAACACAGAGGAAAACCAGAGGACGCAGTGAGAGTGATGTAGTTTACCCCTATTCATTTTCTACTGGACACAAGCAAATCACTTCACAAGGGCCTGTGGGTTTCTTGGTAAATAGATGTACAAAAAGGGAAATCAAAAGCTGAAAATATTTAATTCACCTGGCACCTCCGCAGTGATGAAATGATGAGGTGGTGGGTCTTTACCTGCAGTGGATACCGTAGAGGAGAAGAATATTATTTGTATAGTTTCAGTTGTACACCCAAATATTCGCTCCTTCCTTCTTCCAGAGACTTCTATGCAAAAAGACAAGCTATCCATACAACACTGCTATACAAGTGTGTCCTGTCACATGCTGGAAATCTGCCTTTTTTGTGTATTTTAGGATAATGAGGTCACATGATCAAAAACAACAGTAGAGATTTCAGTTATTCTAAATCAAGGCTCAACAGTGTGGTACAGTGTGTACTATTAGTACAAACAGGCATTTAGAGGATTTATGAACCAGGCAACCGCAGAGAGTTTGTTTGTGGTTATATGGCCAATCTACAACTTTGCTCCACAAACTAATGCGCTCACACCTGCTTATATCCAGTCCACAAACAGAGGCTTTGTTGTGTGTTTACAAAGTAGGTGTGCTGGCTGCTTGGATTTTCATCTGAGAAACAGTCCATCCACCACTGGCTCTGGCTCCGCTGTGCTGAAGGATCTTCAGGCAATAAGCAGAACAGATGGTTTCTAATCAGTCTTCAATGAGTTGCACAACTTTATTTTGATGACACTTCCAACACATGTTGATTCATTCTGGATCAGTGAAGTATTTCAGGAGTTGTCTATCATGATGAAGTTCAACTCATGTCCAACTCATGTTCAACTGGAGCCAATTCCAGCTGACACTGGGTGAAAGGCAGGGACAGGTCGCCAGTCACTGTGCATCAGCTACTGCTAGACTGTAAAGAGCCATTGTGCAGTTGACTACTCACAGATTCATAAAGAATCCAGAGAGTATTTTACAGACAGACAAGTGGCTGAAAAACATTAATTAAGCATGCACATGCTTTTCTGAACAAAACAAAATAAAATCTGAATATTTCTCAAATCAGTTCACAAATAATCATAAAATGCTTGATCAGAAGGTCGATCAGACTAACAACAAGCATGTGTCCATGTACCCACTGGGTTTTCCCACTGTTAGGTTATTTCTTAGTTAGATAGATATTCCGAGATTTGTTGTCTAGAAATGTTTAGTGGAGACAGGATGTCTAGCTCAGGCTGTTAACTGCTCAGTTTAATTTCATGTGCTTGCAAACTGCATGTAGGCCAAGGCTGCAGGCAAAGAGAGTTGTTAGTATTAACTGTAATGCTAATCTTAATATTTGTCTTAATGTGTAATGTCATGTCAAATTGTTCTAGATACACACCACAAAAACAACAGCCACACACCTTGACTTTTCCTCATGTTTTGACTAACGTTATGGTCAGCTGCAAGCTGGCATATCAGGTGACGTCACGGTTTGACTCCCTGCGTAGTATGGGGCTAGCCCAAAATGATTAAAATTATATAGGTTTCATGGTCCAGGGTCTTTCATCTTCCAAGCTGCCTGCGCGCGGGTTGGTGGTGGGAGAGATCTGGACGTGTGATGTTAATTTTACCTGTGATCCTCTGAATAAACCAGTACGGTAATTTTTTATAAAATCTAAAGTGGTCCACTTTGTCTTTTTTGTGAGTTCCTGGTTTAAAAGAACCGGAAGAGGCTTTGTAGAAAAACAGAAGCTTATACCACCATATTAATGCTTTCTAGGTGTCAAGCTTCATTTTAATAATGTTGATTGACATGTAAAGTGAGATGTTAAGGTGATGGACCCCTCTCATCCCCTCAAATTGGGCCAGCATCCATTCGTAATCACCTCTTAGCTATTATGGCCGCTCACTGTTGGTAGGGGGATTGTATGGCATAAAACGTGGCATTAATACGTTCTCTCTGTTCACTCATTAAATGTTTGCAAGTATTAGAATCACAACTTAAGTTTTCAGAAACTAAATGGAAATGTTGTCATATCATTGAACAGATTTAGTGTCAAAGCAAATTAAGAAGTGAAAGAAAAGTTCATCCAATAAGATCTGATGGCAGGAGTTGAAGGTTTTAACAGTGTTTTCATCTCTGTCCATTGTTACCTTCTGTAGTTGATTTGCATCTGACTTTAGCCATTTTAGTGTTAATTTTTACTCATTTTGCACTTATTTTTACTTATTTTGTGTCTGTTTGTGTGTGTTAATCACTTGTACTTTTTTTACTCCTTTTGGATCTTTTCTGTCTTTTTAATGTGGTTCTGTATCTCTTTGTAGTTGGTTTCCACCTATTTTTCTTATTTTGTGCTTTTTGTAGTTGTTTTGTAAACATTTGATTTAACTTTTAACAGAAAGCAGGTTTATACTGTCCCACAGTAATTAAAAACAACAAATTTTTATATGCATGCTGGCACGTTTGCTCAAAAGTCCATAAGTGGTTGCTTCCAGAAAATGCGTGATTTTGTTTCCGAGGTGCGTTTGAAGGCATCATAGGTCGTTTATGGGTCAGCGAACTTTTCAGGACTTCGTCTATTTCCCCCTTGTATCTTGAGCAGGTTATTATTACCAAAATGAAAACATTCAGTATATTTGACGGAATTCTTTCATTGCATTCACTTTAAAAAACTAAAGTTATCTGGTGGCTGAGCCCCCACTCTGTTCCGTGGTTCGCTCCCCCTAGCGGCAGAGTTGGCCGCCGTGAGCGTCACAGCGCCGGTGTCGTCCTCCAGTCAGAGTGAAAGTTAGCTCCGCTAGGGAACAGCAGGGGTTCGGGACTTGCTAGTTTCCACCGCCGCTGCTTCAACGCTTTCTCCTGGAGACATGAGGCGGAAAGAGAAGAGGCTCCTGCAGTTGGCCGGGCTGTTCATAGCGGCCATTCTTTTCTTCCCAAACGTCGGGCTGTGGTCTTTGTACAAGGACCGAGTGTTCGACAACTCGCTTGACACGGCGGAGCGTCCTAACGGCATCCACGCGATACAGGTAAGGGAGGCTCGGCCGCGAGTGGCTCAGCGTAGCGGTGAGGTCTGTCGGTTGTCTGGTGGCGATGTCCGCCACAGACAACGTTAGTTTGGCCGCTTCATGCAGTGTGGAGACAAGGGTCGGCATTCGGCTGAAACACTACGTACTTCCCAGTTTACCCACAATACACCAACCTTGACATTCCCATACTGTGTGTGAGTGTGATGTGGTGCACAAGATGGACCCTGTTTGGGCACCGTGTCAGCAGGTTGTTAGTCACAGCGAGCAGGATGGACAGCGAACCACGTCGCTAACCCGGAGCTAGGCGTTGCAGGAAAGTTAAAACATCACGGTCTTCAGGAAGTTGTCAAAAGCTGCGAAACAGGCGGAGCTGCGAGCTGCAGCGCGGGGCCAGGTTTCTTTATTTACACGGCCCCTGCCTCGGATTTAAGAGCAGGATGCTGTTTTGTGAAGGTGTTTTGAAGCCTCAAACTCCGTCTCTCATGGAAAAACCTCTCCAAATAGACTCTTTATGTTATTACAAGCGTGCAGGGCTGCAAACTAACCATACCTGTCCTTGTCAGTGAATCTGTTGGTACCTTTATGATTCATTATTGGGTTTGTAAAATGTTTGCTAATAGGAACTGTCCATCTTCTGCTCTCAGAAGCCAGTGTGATGTCTGCAAATCGTTAGGTCCAACCAGAAACACAAAACCCCAAGATCATCCGAGCACAGTGATATAAAGCAGCAGCAAATTTTCTCCTTTGAGATGCTGGAATCAACAAGTGTCACATTGTTTCATGATAAATGACTTTGAATTAATTGGTTACTAGTTGTTGTTAACAAAGTACTTAATCAGTACTTTCAAATAACTGCAGTGATACAAGTGTTCCTGTGTAGAGAATCCTGGCAAAAACTGGTGCATCAGAGTCCAGTAAAATGTTACAGAGGAGTAAAAAAAATCACAGTTTCTTTGGCCATACTTGACGCTGTTTTGAGCACATATCTGTCTGAAGAATATCCAGATACAGTAGACAACAGTGTGACAAGTTGTGTTTTTATTCCTTCAGTCAAACTCAAATTGAAACAAATGTTTTGTATTTCTTCAGCTCAAGGACTCGTCAGACAAACAGGTTCCATTTAACCATACAAATGTTATTGTCTCTTATTTTAGAATCTATAGCTTAATGACGTTCACATTTTCCTTTTGTCCTACAAGACTAGTAAATCAGGAGCTTGTGAATGTGGCTTAAAAGGTAAACAAAAGATGAATGAAGGGAGTGTTGGTATCTTGGCCCACATAAAAATTCAACCGCCTCATCAAAGCCAACGTTTGGCAGACAGTAGTAGCTCCTCTAATTCAAATGAGGCAAACTAAATGGAGGCTTTCATGGGTGGGGTGTGTGTGTGTGTGCATGTGTGTTTTGGGTGGTGGTGTTGGTCCAAGTGCATCAAACTTGCTTTACTGGACTGACTGTAGTGAGAAGGGCCAAATGAAGGCTGGGTTCAGCTGTGTTAGCTACAGCTTGTCTTATAAAGTGCCTTTTGTGTACATGCATATTCTTGCATCAAACTGCTCTGTAAACTATTATTTTCCCATTTAGTCTGTAAATGTTGACACAAATCCCCATCAACACTCCAGTGTGACGTCTCCTGTGTGTTGTTGTTTTCGCCAGCTGAAGCTAATTTGCATCCCAAACTGTGGGGATGATAAAGTCAGTGTTGTTTTTCTTTTTTCTTTTTGCGCACTGATCTTCTGCAAGGATTACTTGTCACTGCTCAAGTTTGGATTTGATATTTTTAAAAGGACAACTAAAGACTGGAAAAATGCTACACTGTTAGCACAGTGTGTGGTAACAACTGTCAAACTCCAGAGCGTTATACAGTACCAGCTTTCTCCAACAGTGCTTTAAAGACAGAGTTCAACCAAAAACATACATAACGAATTTGTAACCAGTGGTGGAAGAAGTACTCAGATTGTATTCACTGTGTTAAAGGTAAAATCTTGCATTCATATGTTACTTTAGTTAAAGAACAAAAATATTACCAGAAAATATACTTAAAGTACAACTACTCATTATGCGAAATGGCACAGTTTACATTGATGTGCATCATATTATTTGATTATAATGATTGATTTATTATGGTGTATGTTGTTTTTAATGTTGCAGCTGGAAAAGGGCATGCTCATTTCCAGTACCTTACAAGCCTTTAATTTGAATTACTGCTGGGTAGCTTGTGAATTTTACACCAAGGATCAATACCTCTTGTTAATTTACTGGATTTGGTTTTATTAACCTCTTTCTCAAAAGTAACTTGCAACTAAAGTTGTCAAGTAAATGTAGTGAGTACAAAGTAAATTATTTTTTATCTGTAGTGTAGTGAAAATGAAGTATGAAGTAGCAGAAAATAAAAATACTCAAGTAAAGTACAGATACCTCAGAGGTTGTACTTAAATACAGTGCTTGAGTAAATGTGCTGAGTTACTTTCACCCTCTGTGTGTAACTAGTTTAACAAGGTGAGTCTCTGGTCGTTTATCCTGACAAAGAGGGCAAACATCAGTTGGTCTACTGGTAAAAACAGTGAGTCCCTGCTCTGAACTGTGTCCTGGCATCACCAGAGCCGAGTCGTACACATTCTGATACATCGCATCTCGTGATCAACAGCATAAATAGAAGGAGGCATAACAGCTTCTCTCATTAAGTTTGTGGCCTTGGCTGTGTGATGTAGGGCTTCTGCTCTTTTCCCTTGAAGGTGACAGACTTTATTTCAGGCTGGGAGGCTGTGGGGGACCGTTGAATGCCTTTGCTTTCTGGCAGCTGCTGTGTGCTACTCTAGCATTTTAGTTACTAGTCACAAGGGCTGTAGTTTTCACAGCTTTGTGATTGAACAGAACACCCAGGCAGCCTGGCTCAGATGTAGATGGTACGGGTGCAACCTTGACCGAAGCACAAAATAAGACTGTCGTTCTCTGAGGCATTAGCCTCTGCATTGTGCTAACACAACTGTATCAGATACAGCGGCTACACGCAGCATGAGCTGTGTAATCCTGTGCCCGAGCATAGAGTGACTGAACGATCACCTCATCCTAACACGAGCTGCCTCAGCGCTTCCCCACCGGCGTGCTGGATGTCGTGCCAACAATTCCCCTCAACATGCAAAAGTGAAGCCAAAATATCATCAATGTGGCAGCTGTCATTTTCCCTTTTTGCAAACAGATTTTGTATAGAAGTGGCGCGACAGCATCGGACGACCAATAAAAGGTCACAAATCAACCGAAATACAGTTTTTTTAAAACTTGTATAACAACCATGTCCACCTCTACACACATCAGTGTGATGGTATCTACCAAAACCCACAGAAATCACCTCTGGGGAAAAATGTTTTTGTATTTAGAGTTTTTACTTTAGCTCATGTCCCATCCACTAACATGGAGGGGGCAGGGTTTATGACCTGTACTGCAAACAGCCACCAGGGGGCAGTTAACCCGCACTGGCATCACGGTCAGGGTGTGGGACAGCAGGCTTCTCCGCTCAGTGAAAACCTGTAAGCCCAGTAATTTTCACTGTGTGTCTAATGTTTACTTTGGTTGTTGACTGTGTTAGGGGCTGTTGTGGATTTAATGAGGTTTTTTTTTTTTAACAGCAATACATTTCACCATGGATGGCTCTGACAGCCGTCAGGCTTTAGCTGTTATCCTCCGTCTTAGCTGTGGCACATCCAGTTGGTAACCACTGCTCTCGGTCAAACAGTGCAGGACTGAATAAACTCAGTTAAAACTTAAAAAACATGTTTTAAACTTGTCAGACAAGCATCATGTCCGGGTCGCATGCTGTCGCTGACATGACTATGCTAGTTGATTTATTTATTTTTTTATAAATGTGATTTACCAGCAGAATTGTGCTGTTTACCAGTGAAAATATCCAACGTGTTGGCTTCACTTCAGATGTAGCAAACCCAGGCTAAGCTGCCTCCAGTGACTATAATTCAGCACTTTCCAGTTCTGTTTCATTTTGTGAAAGTTTTCCAGCCAAGGCAAATGATTTTGACTTTTGGTATACAGCAGCTGTGGGTGGAACCTACATGAACTATTGATTAATCAGTCACCTGAGAAGGTAAATCAATAATGTATCATTTAGGTTGGTGCCATTCTCTGCCTAGAAATTAAAAAAGAATCAAAGATGTTCAGCTGCAGATGTTGAAGCAGGTGGAACTTTGTTTTTTCCTGCTAAAAAATAATGAGTTATTTGAAGAATAATCAATAGGCTTATTGCTAAGTAGATTCCCACTCAGTCTGATGTGTTCAGGGTTGGCTAGCTCACGTGGAAAATGCAGATAGGACCACACACGGTGTAGTTGTTATGTGCTTTCAGCCCAGTTTCCATTCCTGGCGGCCACTTGCTGGTCAATTTTCCTGGATGTGATCAGCTGTGATAAAAGTCCAGAAGATAAAGTGTGCTCTTGAAAGCAAAGTTTTGGAGCACAGTCACACAGAAATGAGAATCACACCGGCCTCTACACTGGAGGCCACATTGGTGAGGCACACACTGTAGGCTGGATTACTGTTCATTCATCACTGCAGGACCTTGTGGGTTTCGCCTCTGACACGGGTACAGTACACTGCCTGACTCCCACACACTATCTGTCCTGCTTTTAGAGTCGGCGCAAGGTCAGTCAGCGCCAGCCTGGTCTTATTAATGAGCAGACCTTCAAGTAAACAAGGACATGTGAGTAGAACGTCTGAGTACAAGGAGAAATCTTAGCTGTAAATTTCACAAGAATGTATTTTATTAATTTCTCATTTGTGCTTCATAAGTTGCAGATTGTCAAATTACATCTTGCTGAGCAAGCAGAACAAACTGGTTTTCCAAATAAACACCCGTAGTGCTTCAGTCAGATGTGGAGCTCCGTGGCTGTCTGCTCACAATGCTAATCAGATATTTGTTTGACCCCTCTGTCCTTCAGGTCTCCCACAGGCCTTAAAATACATTGTAGGACATTTGTGCTTTTGAGGAAAAA